AGGAATGGAATGGGGAGGGGGGGGACAGTCTTTGAAGTCCACGGTGGGGAGGGGCAGAACGAAAAGTAGATCACACAAGGTGGAGCGGCTCTTACCGAAATGGCCAGGAAGGAGGACTTGGCGCACCAGATTCCATGTTCTCCAGGTGCCCCTGGTTTACCAAGGACGGCCCCTAAATGCCAATAAATCACTGCCTCTATGGGCTCAACAGTACGTTGCGATTTGTTCTGTTTCTTTTAGACCCATGAAATGCAATCTGCGCTCACGAACCACACGTGGCTCTTGGACATGCCATCTGAGGCTCTTCTGAGCACTCTTCCCCAGTATGGCACCCATCCTAAACTTCAGGAAAGGTTGCAAGGACATCGCCCAGTGAGGCATGCCGTTAGCAGGTGGTTCCTACCAGTGTTCCCTCTAAGCTGAGTTAGTGTGAGCTAGCTCACAGTTTTGTAGCCTCCGGCTCACACATTTTTTGTCTAAGCTTAGGAAGGATGGCTCCAGAGCAAACTAATTGAGGCAGCAGCCAAATCACTCGCTCACAACTTTAATGCCAGTAGCTCACAAAGTAGAATTTTTGCTCACGGGACTCCACAGCTTAGAGGGGGCATTGGTTCCTACCTTGAAACAATATATACATCAGTGTTGTTAACTCACAACTGACTTAGGACGACCCCAGCAAGGGGCTTTCAAGGCGAGTGAGAAGCCAAGGAGTTTTGCTACTGCCATCTTCTGCAGAGTCTTCCTCGGTGGTTCCCCCATCCAAGTACCAATCCCACTTGGTTTCTGAGATCTGATGAGATCCGGCTGTGCCATGCCCATTCCACATCCCCCCACCTTGGAACAGTCGTAGAGAAAGAAAACCTTACATGCTCAGAGGTACTCTGGTAATTATAAAAGTTATTGTGATTTTAGTTATGACGATTCACAGTTAGACACGCGTTCTTTAGGTGGGGTGGCACGCAGTAATCACGTGGTTCTGATGGCTGATGGGAATTGTGGTGCTGCCTGTCCACAAGATGCAGAATAAGTATCACGGCTTTAGGACCCCTCCCTCCTTTTGCATATTTAGCTGCCAGGACTGCGGTATCAGGGAGGTGAACAATGGGGTGGTTGTTTTGACAGTATGGGTTTTCTCCTCCTTGACTTTCAAACGAGACTGTTGGGGTTTTTTTTTGGGGGGGGGGGCTTCCAGTCAATGACACTGGGGTTTTAACTGTCCTGTTTGCAGGTCTTTCCTGTCCTCAGTACGCTCCTCAAACCTTCCGAAACCTGCTCGACTTTGATCAGGAATAATAATAATTATCATTATCATGTGCAGGGCTATTTTTGGGCAGGAACGCACAGGAACGGAGTTCCGGCTGGCTCCCGAGCTGGCCACGCTCAGCAGGAGCTCATTAGCATAACAGGCCACATCCAACAGCAGAAACTCATTAGGATTGGCTACATTAGGGGTGTGTGGCCTGACATGCAAAGGAGTTCCTTCTACAAAAAAAAGTCCTGGGTTTTGACAACAAAGTCAACAGAATAAGAAGCAAAAGGTGGGTGTGGCTGGATGACCACGCTTCTGGTAACATGGGGGTGCGGCCTAATGTGCTAATGAGCTGTGCTGTCATGGGTGTGGCCTAATACGCTAATGAGTTTCTGCTGTTGGGTGTGGCCAATTATGCTAATGAGTTCCTGCTGGGCTTTTTCTATGAAAAGAGC